AAACACTGCCTTTATACTTATTCAAAGTGGGTGTATACATTTTTGGGACACCATATATATATAATTTTTTCAATTACGGTTGACATCCAATATTATTTCATATTAGTTTCAGGTGTATAGCATAGCAGTTAGACAATTATGTAACTTATAAAGTGATCTAACTGATAATTCAAGTTCCCACCTGGCACCATCCATAGTTATTACAATATTACTTACTATCTTTCCTACGCTATGCTTTATATCCCTGTGACAATTTTGCAACTACCAATTAGTACTTCTTAATCTCTTCATCTTTTTCACCCAGCCCCCTGCCCCCCCTCCCATCTGGCAACCATCAGTTTTTTTCTCTGTATCTATGATAGACCATTTATTTTCATCAGGAGATTGAGTTTTAGTCAATTGTCAGTAGATTCAGAACTCCAGGGACCAGGTTTCTTCATCTTCAGCACCCATCCCAGGCAGGAGATGCAGCAGCAGCAAGCATGTATTGAAAAATATCCCTGTTCATAAACAACTTTGTAATATTACTATGCTGTTTGCATGGATTTCCTTTGCCCCTTCTCCCATTATGACTGTCAGCTCTTTCGGATTTTCTAAAGAGTTTGTGGGTAGCTCTGTTGGTTAGAGTGTCGTTTGGATACACCAAGGTTGCAGGTTCTATCCCTGGTCAGGGTACATACAAGAATGAACCAATGAATGCATAATTAAGTGGAGCAACAAATTGATATCTCTCTCTCTAACAAAACATCAATAAGACTTTTTTGAGAAGGACCCAGGAAATAAAAAGATTCTCAGGAAACAGAAAAACAAAAACCTTTCTGGAGGAGAGGGAGGCTGACTAACATGGTGACATAAGAGGGTCCTGAACTCCTCTCCTCCCACAGACACACTGAATTGGAAACTACGCTCAGAGCAATTACCTCTGAAAGAAATCCAGAAACTAACTGAGCAGCTACTACACAGTGGAAGAATGAGAAAACACCCCCATCGATGAGTAGGAAAGGCTCAGACTCACTCTTGTCATAAACCCATCCCCAGCACAGCGCCAAGCAATCAGGAAGAAGCTCAAAACTCCTAGCATCTTCCTGATGAGGAAGAACATGATCTCATATACAGAAAACCGTAAAGGCACCGCCAAAAACTGTTAAACCTAATAAATGAATTCAGTAAAGTTGCAAGATACAAAAGTCAATATACAAAAATAAGTTGCATTTCTGTACACTAACAGTGAACTATAAAAAAAGAAATTAAGAAAATTCCATCAAAAAGAATAAAATACTTAGGAATAAATGTAGCCAAGGAGGTGAAAGAACTGTACTCTGAAAACATCAATAAGAAATTGATGAAAGAAAGTGAGACACAAATAAGTGGAAAGGTATTTTGTGCACATGGATTGGAAGAATTAATAGTTAAAATGTCCATATTGATCAAAGCAATCTACAAATGTTTTGCAATCCCTATCAAAAAGTCCAATGGCATTTTTCACAGAAAAAATTTTCACAGAAAAAGACAAATACTGCATGGGATCACTTTTGTGGAATTTTAAAAAAATTTAAAAGTCAAGCTCATTGAAACAGAGTAGGAAGTAGTTGACAGGGGCTGGGTGGGGAAAGGGAAATAAGAGGTTGCTAAAGGAATATATACTTGTAGTTAAAAGATGAATATGGCTGAGGATCTAATGTATAATGAATACAGTTGATAATACTGTATTGTATAAGTGAAATTTGCTAAGAGAGTAGTATTTAAATGCTCTCACCAAAAAAAAAAAGGTAAATATTTGAGGTGATGGATGTGTTTATTAATTTGGGAGGAATCCTTTCACAATGTCTGTGTATATCAAGTCATCATGTTGTACACTTTAAATATCTTACAGTTATATTTGTCAATGACAGCTCAATAAAGCTGAAAGAAATCCCAAAACTCTCTAGACCTTTCCTGTGATTTTGACAGTGGGAGAGAAATGCCATAGGAACAAATTCTATGTGAAATTTTTGCTTGGAGGCCCCCGTAATTACATTTTAATTGAACTACATGTGATGAGAAGTTATGTTTGTCTAATGAGCCCTTGTATTTTCTCTCATTTTCCCATTGTCTTCAGCTGCAGGTCATCTGAGGCGGGAGAATGTGTGAGAACCGAGATTTCAGAGACTGAAGGTGCGTGGCATAAATGAATCATGACTGAAAACACTGCCCGGCATCTTCGCAGGGCCGCATGTGTGTGACAAGAGAGGCGAGGAAGCGGTAAGAGCTGAGTAAAGGCTGTGGGAGGAGGTTAGCTATTTGCTACTGCATGTTTTTATATTCTGGTGAAAATGTTCAATTACACAGCGTGCTTATTTAAATTCATTTTTGCACCAGAGATAAAATTCTCCAAAGAAAGATTATCAACTTGCCTACTTATTAAAAATCAAGCAAGCGGTGGCTGCAAATGTTTAACTAAAACTTTGACTCTTTGGGGGACACTGTGCTGAACTACCATCGCTCAAGGGACCACGTGCAGGTTTTCAACATTGTCAGTACACTCACTCCATCAGCGCGGAGTGGCACCATTTTTTCCTCTGGCCTTTCGCTCCACTGGCTTGTGGCCATTCTCCGTTCTCAAGGTTAAGCTATGAACAAGAGTGTTGTCATTGGAAGCCTGAGGATCTTTCATTTTTTTGCTCCAATTCTGAATAATGTTCACTTGCAATCTCCAGGCTGTCTTTTCACCCATAAAACCAATGTGATTCTCAGGCTTTCATTTTTTTTCACCTGACTAACAGTTTTCTCATCTATTAAATGGAGAAACCAGATTTTGAAGTTCCTTCTAGCTCTCATCTCCTATGACATCTATTATCTGCCCATCTTTGGAAGAGCCGTAAGGGAGATCGTCAATGGGGCACCTCATTTAAAGTAGCAAATGAGTTTCTGAAAAAGTACCTGTGCAGAAAATTATATTCTAAGCATGCTAAAAAAAGGTTTCTGAAGGAAATTTTTAGTGATTTGCTTTGTAAAGTCCTTTTCTCTAGCCTCACCTAATGTGATGTGTTTTGATAGCCCAACTTAACCACTTGTCTGTGGTTTTCTGTCTACAAAATGCAGAGTGGGGCAAGAAGTAGGTTTACAGTTGTTCATATGGAAAATAATAGAATAATTAATAAAAAATACAAAAATAAACTGTTCCATGTACTCACAACTGTAAACCTACTTTTGCCCAACCCTGTATGTACTTGTTTTGCCATGTACTTGTTAAATGATAAAAGCATCAGTAAAACCCATTATCTTCATGGTGCTGTGGAGAAGTCATCTGAAGAGAGTTAAATGTATAGTACTTGCCTCTGGGAGAGTGTCTGATGTAGCAGTTGTAGGTATAGATAATCAAAGGACAAAAACCAAGTTCCTAGTTATAATACTGAGTGACTTCATTCGGTGGAAGGGAGAAGGCACGATCTCCTTCAGTAAATTAAAGAGCACAGCATGAAGTACATCAGGATTTAGGAACCACAGAGGGAAAGGGAGTGCCTCATCAGTTTGGGGACAAGAAGCCTTGAGCATTGATGACCTCTGGGAGATTTGAAGACAGATGTGGGTTTAATGCACCCTGAAGAGGATCCATTTTTCTTTGTAGTAGTAGGCAGAATAATGGCCCCTCAAAGATGTCCATGCCCAATACCTGAAACTGGTGGATATGTTATCTTACGAGGCAAAAGGGACTTTTGCAGATATGAGTAAGGTTAAGGACCTAGAGATGGAGAGGTTATTTTAGATCATCTGAGCGGACCCAGTGTAATCACTTGAGTTTACTAGATATCTTGAGTAAAATGAGAGATCTTTTCCTAGAGATGTGATCACAGAAGAAGGGTCAGAGGGATGGGATGTTGCTGGCTTTGAAAATGGAGGAAAGGGGCACAAGCCAAGGAATGCTCACAGCCTTTAGAATCTGGAAAAGGCAACAAAAGATTCTCATCTACAGCCTTCAGAAAGGAAGACAGCCCTGCTGACACCTTATTGCACTTGATAAAACCTGTACTGGACTTCTGACCTGCAGAATTGTCAGATAATATACATTTATGTGGTTTTAAGCAACTACATTTGTGGTAAATTGCAGTAATAGAAAAACCACACTTACTCAAATTTATAGCCACATGAACAAACAAACAAACAAACAAACAAAAAACCCTGGCATTTCAACGTCAAGTGAATTTATTTAAACAAAATCTATATTTCATCCTCAAAATTCAAAAAGTATTTATATTTTACAATGCTAAAACCAGATCAAAATAAAAGCTGGGTGCTCTTTAGCTTCTCTGACTGCCTGTAGTCTTTCCTCAGCCTATGCAGGCTGGCCTTGTGTTTGTCTTGCCCCTTCCTTGCTCTATACATGAAGCTCTCTTTGGGGATGGCAGAGTCTCTGCCCTTCATCACTAAGCTGTCCTAAGTCCTTCAGTTTGTACCTTGCCATTGGATTTATTTTTGCTAAGTATTTCAATATTTTTAATGGATGGTAAGATATTCTAATCTTTTCCTTGAGAATTTCTGCTTAAACTTAACATGCTTATTATTTTCAAAATATATTTTAAGTGACCTCAGTTTGCTGGGACTTTATTCTTACTCTTCATGTTCCGATACCATTGGCCTTGAATATTAAGACAAGAGGTACCTCTCACATATGAACACATTTTGTGTGATTTGATGTGGAAATAACTCATCATGGTACGGATTTCTTTAGTTACATATTTTCTATAAACTCCTCCTCGGCCTCCCACTTTAGGGAGACTGGATGACTTAATATCTAAAGGTTTCTCCTTTAGCCTTTTTCATCCAGAGATAGGAGTAGAGCCAACCAAGGCATCACTCTTGCCCTGCTAAGCCCAAAGGTGAGGGAAATTCCAAACCAGTGGATTAGTGCAACCCTGTGTTACTTCTCTTGGTATAAAAGGAAAGAGAGAGAATTGTTTGTTCGAATCCAGTTTTTCATGTCAGTGATTGCTAGGAACATGGAAAATATCATAAGACCTTAGCATTCAATCTCTGTAATGCGCCCATTTTCCTCAGTCACAGCTATTTCTGCAAAGAGCAAAACCCCCTCCTATGGTCTGAATGTTTTTGTCCTTCCACCCCAAATTCATATGTCAAAACCTTAACACTCAATGCGATGGTATTGGGAAGTGGGGCCTTGGAAAAATGATTAGGTTATGATGGTAGAGTCTTCATGTATAGGATTAGTGCTCTTATAAAGGAGACTCCACAGAGCTCCCTAGCCCTCCCACCATGCAAGAACATCGGGAGAAGACTTCAGGCTGAAAGAGGGTCTATCGCCCAACCATTCTGCCACTCTGTGCGAAGGAAATTTCTATTGTTTATAAGCCACCCAGTCGGTGGTATTTTATTTTAGCAGCCCAAGTGGACTGCTATAAGACACATCCTCACACTATCTCAATCTTAAAAAGTGTCATTATTAAGTCTACATGGAAGTTTCAGGGAAGTTCTGAAAATGATGAACAATGAGTCCTTAGGAAGAATGGGCACTGGGGCAGCTCAGCAATCAGGCATGGACTGTCTAGTACTTCATCACTCAGTAGCTTTTATTTCTCTTTGTCCTACCACAATCTGAGGCTCTCAGCATCTCAATTCAAATTTCTAAAAGAAGAATATGACTGCCTCCCACCATACCATGGTGGTCTCTGAAACAGTCATCTTGCTTGGGAGAATCACATGGAATAAGCATGGCTTCCTAGGACTGGCCCTTTCTCAGGGGCCGAGCCTGGGAATAATCACCAGAGAAGGTGCTTTGGGTGGAGCAGGACATGTCTGGTCCAGCGATCACGTGGCCCACTCCCACTGTTCCTCCTCAGAAGCATGGCTTCCTAGGACTGGCCCTTTCTCAGGGGCCAAGCCTGGGAATAATCACCAGAGAAGGTAGGTGCTTTGGGTGGAGCAGGACATGTCTGGTCCACCGATCACGTGGTCCACTCCCACTGTTCCTCCTCATACCTTGTTCTACACTTTAGTTTCTTGCCCCTCAGTTGGTCCCTCATTTTTTGCTCTGTTTACCTGCTTTAACCTTCTCACCTCTTTCAGGATGTAACTTCAGGTTTTCTGTTTAGCAGTTTGTTTCCACAAGAGGCTCCCTGGCCTATGCCCCGCTTTGGAACCTATATACCAATATTGTATTTTCCTTACTACCATCAGGAACTATAAGGAGTAGTAGACATTTTATTCCTTTGTTTCTTTAGCAACAGCTCCTACATTCTATATAGGCTATGACCCTATTTTGTGTCTTAAAATGGTCATTCTGGATGCTATATGATGAATGTAAGCCATAAAGAAGCAGGGGACAAAACAGCATGACCATCTTAGAGGTCCAGGGGAGGGATGGCCATGGCTTGACCTAGGATGCAGAAGTGGAGGTTATGAAAAGTGATCGTGCACTGTGAAGTTAAAGTCCATAGTATTTGCTGTGGATCAGATGTGGAGGGTGAGAGAAGGAGAGAAGTCAAGAATAACTCCAAGTGTTTTGGTCTGTTTGAGTAAAAGTTTATGCCATTTCCTGAGCCAATGAATACGTGGGAAGGAACAAGTTTGGAGGATAGGAAAGAGGCATGCCAATTGAGCTCTTGGTAGCGTTTAACATACGTCATTAACCATTGCTCCCTTCTTGAAACACTTTCTTCCCCTGGCTTTGTCCTGCCTTACTTACCACTCAATCTGTTTCTTTTCTAGGTCCCCCTCCTCTCCCAAGTCCACAAAAATTGTAGTAATGTAAGACTATCCTCATAAATTTCTGCCTAGGTTATCCTTTATCCGTTTCTAAATGTATGGGACCAGCTCAAACATCTCCCTCTAAGTCCAGAATTACACAATAACTTCCTCATCATGTCAGCTTGAATATCTAATAGATATCTCAAACTCTTGACTCCACTTTTTGAGCAGAGATTGATATTTCTTAATGAATCTCAGATATTCTATAGGGGGCCTTTCTGTTTCTTACAAATTGTGTCCTTAGATTATCCTGGGAGCTTCTCTGAATTTCTTAGTCTATTGTGATATAATATCACTGGGTAGGGCTTTTCCTTGGCCATTATATGTCTGATTTGGTTCATTCAAGAAACGCTGTTGGAGAACTTTATTAGGGGTTTCTTATCCAAGGCTATCTTATAACTAGTCCTCCAAAATATGCTCATGTAGAAGTAATATGATCGATGACATTTATATACATATGTATATAATATCTTAATCCTGCCCTGAGGATATGCCCCCAC